AGGCTCTGATTGGCTGATCCAGACCCGACTCGCACCTTCGGTGTGATTCGGATGCTGAGATCGAGGCTCGCCTTCCGAGTCAGCCCAATGAAGCGGCGTGGCGTGGAGTAGCGCTCCGCTGGCGAGCGGCAGGCGATCGCACGCGGTTGCGGCGGGCGGTCGCTCTCTGCCGATTTTCCCAACTCTGACGCCCACCACAACCACCACCACAGCACCACACCACCGCCATTACACCACCGACTCCACAGCGGCGTTTCGCTTGAAATAGAAACAAAATTTGGCATCACCTCTGATGAGAAGGTGGGGCGCAACAGTATTTGCCCCGCTGTTTCCATTTCGTCGGTTGAATAATATAAATCCACCAACAACAGGGAGTGCTATCGCCCACCTAAACTCGTTCCGCTCGTATCTTTATTTTCGACGCCGTTCACGCTGAACGGGGAGGGGCAGCAGCGGTGGCGGGGCGGCCGCTCCCCGTAGTGTGGAGTCGAGAGGGTACTCGAAGGAGTGAAAGAGCGGCGGCGGCGCGAGGCGGCGTGAGCGCTGCACCGCCAGGCCAGGGCTGAATCAATACCCCAAACGGACAGCCTCGGCGCGGCCAGGCGCGGGCGGAGACGCCCTTTCTCGCCGTCTCTCCCGCCTCTGCGAGATTGAGAGGCTAAAAAAGTTTTCACGGCGGCAGCTGGACCATCAGTGTCTCTTGCGGCGCTGCTGCTGGCGGGTGGCGGCCATGGCGGCGGCGCGGCGCGGCGCGGCGCGGCGGGCGCGAGAGGGCGACGTGTGGGAGCGGCCGACGCGCCGCCGCCGCCGCCAAATGTCCCGGCGATCCATATGTGGCGGTGCGGCGCGGCTGCCCCGGGGCGGGGGTGCGGGCGGGCGAGGGCGAGCAGCGAGGCGGCAGAGCTACCTCCCCGCCGGGGCCGCCGGGCCGGGGCCGCCGGGCCGCCGGGTGGCGGGGTTGGCGGGGGTGGGAGAGAATCATGTGCAAGTTGTCCCCAAGGGGGGCCGAGCGTGAGCGCAAGGGCTTTGTCACGCGGGGTGCGGCCGGGAACAGGGTCTGATCGGCACGGCCCCCGGCGGCCCTCCGCCCCGTCCCGCCCCGCCCCGCCCCGCTCGCTACGCCTCCCTCCGGATAAGATGCAGGGTTGCACGGCTACGCCATACTCAGATAGCGCCAGGCTGCTACGTGCCCGGATACTGTATCGGCGTCCGGCCACGACCTTTCTAGACGCGAGTCATATCAAATACCATCTCTCCTATAAGATTTTTCTTTCCAAAAAGATATAAATAAATACAGTAACATTTTTTTTTTCACTTTGCTAAGCGCCACGACAGGGAGGTGGGGGGCGCGGCACTCCCGCGGGGGTGCCGATGCCGTCTGAGGCCGAGCTGCAAATAAACATGTTGGCGGGGGGAGGGTGAAAAAAAATGATGGAGTGAAATGAAAAAGGATCAGGACCACCAGAGCAACGCCACAAAAAAAGAGACCGAAAAGAGAGGTGGGGGCAGTGGGGGTAGAGAGGGGGTGGCAGGGATGAAATAAGAGAGAAAAGAAATAATGCGAGGTAGCGGGCTTAGCGCGCTGTGGGGCGGCGTGGCGCGACTAAAGCGATATTCGCGTGGAGCAGATTGCAAAGAGCTCGCCGCACAGAGTCGGGGCGGGAGAATCGGGGACCCTGACAGCTTTCTGCGTTGCTGCGCATCACCCCTGCTTCCCCCGCTATCGCTATCTCTTTCTCTTCTGCGTGTCTTTCTCTCTCTCTCTTTCACTAGCTCTCACACACACTCACATTCACACACTCACCTTCTTGCTGGAGTGGCGGTGGTAGCGCACGGGGTGCAGCATGCACATGTACCGGTCCATGGCCATGCAGATGAGGATGACGGCGCTCTGCTGCGTCAGCGCCCCGCGGAGCAGCGCCTGCGACACGAGCACACGAGGAAGGTAAGGTGGGTGCTCATCGCCACCAAAGCTCCGTACACTACCCTCCCCCCGCCCCGCCCCAAACTCCCTCAACTTCTTATTTTTCTTTTCCTTTTGTTGTTTTGGCGCCATCACGGAAGGTGCCACTTTGATGGCACCGACGGGCCGGCAGCGGCGACGACGGCGCGGCGCTCGGGGCGGCGGCGTGGCGCTGGAATTCCAGAATTGGGTCAACAGCCATGCCCGGCTGGCCTGCAGGGCCTAGGAGGGCCGGCCGTGGGCTCCCGGACCCTCGGCGCACCCCCCGGGTGGGCCACTTGGCCGACCGGGACTGGCTTCCCCTCTCGTCGGACCCTGCTCCCCCGTCTGCCCCAGCCCTTCCCCCGCAACCCCTCTCTTCCCGCCAGCCTCACTTTCCGGAGCGCAGCAGTGGCATTTCCCCCGGAGTTGTTCCGCGGCCCTGGAGGAGCTGGCGCGCTGGAGTCGCCCCCGGAGCCCGGATTCCGGTCCCGAATCCCCATACCTTGAGTGCTGCAGATAGTTGGAGCCAGCGTTAAGCTTCTGATAAAATCAATGCCGGACTGGGGAGGATAGGGCGGCGTGCCCGCGGCGTGCAGGCCGGGGAGGGGCAGCAGGAGATCGGCCCCAGCCGCACGCGCTGCGCGCCTACTGCGCGATTCTTGTTGTTTCCTCTGAATTTACCTCTCAAAACACAACACAGGTGTTTATGGAGGCTGCTCACAAGCATGTGAAATGTCGATTTTTCAGCTTTCTGTCGTAGTTTTTTGGGTGGTGCCTTCCGCTTTGTCATGTTTCCGCGCGCGCTACGCTCCGCCGATCTGCGAGCAAGTTGTTCATTCACTTTGAGAGGATAGCAGGTCACCGCCGGGCCCAGCCTGCCAGCCCCATACCGTGCATGGCAAGCTCCGCCCGATATACGGCACGGTAGGAGGGCCCGGGCCGAGTAGAGCACGGCGCGGGAGCGTAGCCGGAGCGTAGCGGGAGCCGCCACTGATAAGGAGCCGGGATAACAGCGAGGACGGAGGGCACCCGACGGGGACCCGACACGGACCCGACAGCCGGGTCCGGGTCCCCCGCGCGACCTTCCCCCAGGGACACCCCCGTGCCCGACCTCTTTTTCTGCCACCCACCCTTCCCCTTTGCTACCGGGTGGCGCGCCCCCGCGGCCCTTCCTCTTGCCGGTACCTGCGCTGCGTGCCAGCCAACCTCACCTTGGCACCCCTTAGTACCCCTGCAATCAGATGCGGGGTGGAAATAGTGGGGGCCGGGGCCGAGGACGGGCCGAGGGTTTGAAGTTGGAGCGGAACCAGTGCCAGGGGGCGATTATCCCGATTAGTCCTAAGCTAGGTGTAGTACGCCGCCCCGCCCCGCCACGCCCGACGCTCCACATTTACACCCCCCCATCGCGGCGCCCATTCGACGTCACGATTAAGCGCCGGCTGGTTTAAAATATGGTCGGGTGGCCGCGTTTACAAGTGCAAAACAAAGAATAATCCCCCATAGCTGTCCCTGCTTATTCCTCCTCTCTTTCTCTCTCTTCCTCTTTACCCAACTCACTATTTCCTTTCCTTCCCCTTCTCCAACGACGGAAAACAAAAAAAGAGCAGAAATAATGGCGAGTGGGGAGAGAAAAAAAAAAACTGGCGCTGCAGACCCCTTTGATGGCATAGAGGGACCCGTTATTCCTTGTCTGGGTCAAGGTCACGGCGTGGGCCGACAGATAGCTATGCGGCGGAGGGGGGAGGGGGAGACATTTTTCTGCACATGGATACACGAGCAGAGCAGCAGTGGAGGCGGCGGCCCCACCCCATATCCCCCGCCCTCACAGGCTCACGACAATAACAACGGCAAAGCGCCACCTACTCGCAAAAAAAAACAACACTCATGTCCGCGAAAAATGACGTGATTTGTGTACGAGTGGCCCGGCCTGGACAGACTTCGCGAAAAGCCAAACAATAGAAGGGTGGTAGTCCCTATGTCAGTGGAGTAGTGGGTCAACATGTGCCCCACACAGTTGCGAGAGTTGAGAAAGAGCAACAAATGTGTGAGATAGAATGTGGCGAAGAGTTCTAGTCTGTGAATACCCTCGCCCTAGCATATTTAACACGTTCAGTGCGGCGTGACCCACACCGTGGGTCACAATAACATGGGATTGCCTACCCCCGCCGCACTCAACGTGTTAAAGGTAGTTTCTCGTACATTTATTTAAAAAATAATGAAATAGGATTTT